AGTATTCATCTGCCCAAATACATAGAACAGAAACCAAAGAGTTGCCTGAGCTCAGTCCCAAATCCCTGTGCACATTTAAATAACCGGAGGTTTTTAGTAACACTCCAATGGTCATTTAAGTGTAAGCTCACCTGCCACCAGGGACGGACTGGGGATACGAAGCAGCCCTGGAAAAAAAATCTATGCCAGCCCCATAAGTCATTGTGCTATGTAGGATGTTTTTAAGAGAAGATCAACGTTTCAGTCCCTCTTGTGGACTTGCATCAGGATCATGACTAAAGTCCACAAGAGCGACTGAAACATTGATCTTCTCTTAAACATTTCAATAAAAATTAAGTTTTAAGGAAATCTGAGAGTGCAGCCAACTATTTCAATTGCCTGGATACTGGAGACCTGGTGATGCAACAGTGTATATATATATATATATATATATATATATATATATAAATATTGATACATTTCTTCTAATTCAAAATATTAGTTCTTTTAGGGTAATTACATTATACAGTAAAGCATACTCACACACAGACACAGACAATCTTACTGATACACACAAATAGGCTCATTGACAGACAATCTCAATGACACACACAGACAAAGTTACTGGCACACACACACATTTAGTACAGACAAACTCTGATACACACACAAGCTTACTACAGACAAGCTGACTGTCACACACACACGCTCACTACAGACAAGCTCACTGATGCGCACACACTCTCCCTACAAACAAGGCCATTGACACACACATGCTCCCTACAGAAGAGCTCACTAACACACAGATTCACTACAGACAAGCTCACTGACACACACATGCTCACTACAGACAAGCTCACTGACACACATATGGTCACTACAGACAAGCTCACGATCACAATCATGCTTACTACAGACAAGCTCACTGTACACACATGCTCACCACAGACAGGCTCCGACACACCCATTCTCCTTACAGACAAGTTCACTAACACACACATATATGATCCCTACAGACAAGCTCACTGACACACATACAAGCTTACTCACTAGCATGCACACACACACACAAACTCACTAGCAGGCACACACACACAGAGGCTCACTCACTAGCAGATGTATGCACACACACACACACACACAGAGGCAGACAGTCACTGACACCGAGGCAAACATCCACACATACAAAGACAGGCAGACAGCCACACACACACACACAGGCAGATAGTCAAACACACAGGCAGACAGCCACATACACAGGCAGACAGCCACACACTCACACACACACAGGCAGACAGTCACACACACACACAGACAGTCACACACTCACAGGCAGTCACACACAGACACACTGACCTGCTTCTTACCTCCACATTCCTTGGAGCTCCTGGAGGCTGGTTGTTGGGGAAGCAGGGACTCCTTCCTGCCTCTCATGCTGCAGTTAGCCAGGCCCCCGCCGCACAGTAAGCTCCGCCCCCGCCGCACACTAGCTCCGCCCCCGCCACAATGTTTTTTTTTTATGATCCCGGCCGGCCATGTGTGAACTGTGCCGGCTGCCTGGCTCCCCCTGCAAACAAGGGGCTTGTAAGAGATAAACTAAAGGGGGGTAAGGCACAAAACTTTATCTTAAAATTATATTAACAAAATAAATATAATAAAAGTAAAGAGCTGCTCCTCTCTCAGCCCAAATCCTACCCCACAAACCCTCTCTTTCACACTACACACATGCACAATGCATCCTACACTCACACAGAAACACACCATGCTTCCCTTACACACACACACACACACTGCATCCCTTACACACACACAATGCAGTACATGCACACATACACAGAAGCACACAATGCATCCCTTAAACACACACAATGCATACCACACACACACACACACAATGCAGTACTTGCACACATACAGAGAAGCACACAATGCATCCCTTACACACACACACTACATCCCTTACACAAACTGGTACACTACATTCCATAAGAACACACACACACATAACACATCCCCTTCACATATACACTCCACTCCCTGTGAGCAAACTCATGGGTGAGCCTTGTTGGCATACACACGGTCAGGCCCTGGAGGCTCAGAGCGTGATCTGTGTAAGGGGCCCCAAAAAATTGAGCTGCTTCCTGTTCATTGTTTTTGTGAGTCCTGCCTCCAGAGAGCCTGTTTTAACACCAGGCCAGTGGAGCCAGACTGCAGCCTGAGCCCATCATCATCCTCTTGTCCTCATCTGGTGGTAAGTAGGCAATCCGGTATATTTACCTCACATTAAAGGGGCACTATAATCACCAGAACCACTATAGCTTAATGTAGTGGTGCTGGTGTCTATAGCCTGTCCCTGCAGGCTTTTTAATGTAAACACACTGCCTTTTCAGAGAAAAGACACTGTGTGCAGCACTGGCGTTCGCTCATATGGGTGGGGTATTGTGATGTCACATGGTGGGCAGAGCGGCAAATTTTTGTTTGCCTAGGACGGCAAAAGTCCTTGCACCGGCCCTGGCATTGCACCAGCCCTGTTCCCTCATCTCTATCACTGATCTCTTAGCCAAGACTCAAGAAGAAGACTAGGAGGATGACCAGCATGGAGGTATGTAGCGGAATGGACCATACTATAGTACCCTTATGCCACTACAGCTGTCCGTATCCCCTTTTTCCTGTTGTCCCTATGATTGGGGCTTGATGTCCCTGTGTGAGACATATCTCCCTATTTACTACCACTGTTTATACCTTTTTGTGGACTTAGCCAGTAACACTTCGAACTTTTGAAATAGCACTTCGAACTGTCGAACTCCCGAAGCCATTCGAAGTGGCATTCGAACACGTGGTGGTGGCGGCCATTTTGTTTAGTCGAACGCATCCAGCTGTGTTTGGTCGTCGAGTGCATGGAACTCAAATCGGACACTTGACGGCACGAACACCGCTAAAACTTTACCTTCCATGGATGTTCAGCTATTCGAACGGGAGTCGAACGGTGTTTGGTAAGAAGAACAAGAGACATACACTAACTATATAAACGAACAGCTTTGTTCGGTTATTCAAACGTTATTTCGAATCCTCAAAGTAGACCGGCTGCACAGCCTGATTCTCTGGAACTGTTTTGGACGTGAAACCATGCGTGCGGTCAGTCAAAATGCGACTTTCATAAAATTTCTGAACCCCTCAACTGATCTGGGTGATATCTGGATATGTTGGTCACCCAGATCCGTACTATCAGGGGATGTATCATTTGTGGGGATACTGTGTGTTTTGTGGCGTACTTTTGGGGTTTGGTACAATGTGTGTTTTTTCCTGCCTGGAGATAATTGAGTTACTACAGTATCTGACTCAATTATCTCCCAGACAGAGGGGAGGGACTGTACACTATGTGTGGGAGTGTCATTCATTGGAATACTGTCTGATTGGTCTATGAATATTGTCACTCAGTCCCCCACAAGGTCCATGTGGGCATACCCGTTGCATGGGGAGTCTCATAAAAGGCCAGCTGTGGCTCCATTAAAACCAGTTATACCCCCAGAGCTGAGTGTCGTCCAGTTGCTGGGGAGGTGTTGGGAGAGTCTTGGATTACTTTGCTGTATTTGGCTGTTCCCTTGGAATAATTTACTTGTTCCTGTGTACATCTTGGAGCAACCAGCGGAGGAGAGTCCCTGCTAGGACTAGGGCTCCACTACATGCTAAAACAACACAAATTCTGCCTATGCCAAAAAAAAGAGATAGAGCCAGTCACCAAAAGGAAAAGGGACAGGGAACAGAGGACAGGATAGACAGGACAGAGGTAGAGTTGCCACCTGGCCAGTATTTTACAGGCACAGCCGGTATTTGGGACCACCTGGTAGGTGCCGGTATTGCAGTTATACCGGCATCAGTATTTTTCTCAGTATAAATTGAGATTTGATGCAATACCGCGCTGGCCAGTAGGTGAGTGTGTAGAGAGAGGCAGGGATAGGAAATTACAGCATCTCCCTTCCTGCCTCTCTCTACTCACAGGTCCATGGGGAAGCAGCTCTGCCCAGAGAGTCCAGCCAACAGCTCAGGTAAGTGAGGGATGGGGGGAGACAAATGGGAGGGCAGTCTGTAACAAGTAACACAGGGGGGCAGAGACATGGGGACACTAGGGCAGACACAGAGACATGGGGACACTGAGACACTAGGGGATTCATGGGGACACTGGGGCACACAAAGACAAGGGGACACTGGGGCACACATAGTCATGGAGACACTGGGACACATAGAGACATGGGAACACTGGGGGATCCTGGGAGACATGGGGTCCGAGACACATGGGGACACTGAGACACTAGGGGAGACATGGGAACACTGGGGCACACAGAGACATGGGGACACTAGGGGATCCTGGGAGACACAGAGACATGGGGAAACTAGGGCACACAGACATAGGTACACTGGGAGACATTGGGACACTAGGGGAGACATGGGGACACTGGGGCACACAGACATAGGGATGCTGGATGATCCTAGGAGACACAGAGACATGGGGACAATGGGGCACACATAGACATTGGGACACTGAGTGATCCTGAGAGACAGAAACATGGGCACTGGGGGACACAGAGGCATGGGGACACTGGAAATCATGGGGAAACTAGGGCACACAGACATAGGGAGAGTGGGGAATCCTGGGAGACACAGACATTGGGACACTGAGACACTTGGGGAGACATGGGGACAGTAGGAGAGACATGGGGACATTGGGGCACACAGAGACATGGGGACACTGAGACACTAGGGGAAACTAGGGGGCACTGAGACACTAGGGAAGGCATGGGGACAATGTGAGACATATGGAAACTGGGACAGATATGGAAACTTGAAGACATGGGGCACTGAGACACTAGGGGACAGTGTAAGACATGTGGTAATTGGGAGACACAGAAACTGAGACACATGGGAACACTGGGAGACATGGGGACACTAAGAGACTAGGGAACACTTGGATACATAGGGACTCTAAGACACTGGGAGACATGGGGACACAGACACTAGGGGATACTGAGAAACATGGGGGCACTGAGACACTAGGAGACATGGGGACAGTAGGGAACACTGGGTTACATGGGGACACCATATCTCCCAGTGTCATCATGTATCTCAGTGTCCCCATGTAACCCAGTGTTCCCTACTGTCCCCATGTCTCCTAGTGTCTCAGTGCCCCCATGTTTCTCAGTATCCCCTAGTGTCTGTGTCCCCATGTCTCCCAGTGTCTTAGAGTCCCTATGTATCCAAGTGTTCCCTAGTCTCTTAGTGTCCCCATGTCTCCCAGTGTTCCCATGTGTCTCAGTTTCTGTGTCCCTGAAACACTTAGGCACAATTTGACACTAAGGCACACTGAGGCACTAGGGGACCCTGGAAAACATGGGGACACTAAGACACTAGGGAACACTGGGATACATAGGGACACTGAGCCATTGGGAGACATGGGGACACTAAGGGATACTGGAAGACATGGGGACACTGGGAGACTTAAAGACACTGCGCTGTGAGACCGGAAGACAGTGGGAGCAATTATTCTTACACCAGAGTCAAACTGTAAGTTTTTTGGTGATTTAAAAGAAAAATCTGTTATGTCACTCCTTGTAATTTACATATTGTGATGCCATGCATGCATAATTAATAATGCAAATTAGTATGGCTGGTATTTTTTTAAAAAAAGGTTGCAACCCTAGAATGAGGTAAGTCTACTAAAATGTGCTGCCAACTGGCAAACCCTGCCTTGTCACCTCTTCCTATATAACCTATTGCAACATAGTAACTTATCCTATGCCCAGCCCAACTTCATGAGGACCACAGTCATGCTCCCCTTCCTAAATGTCCTGGGGAATTCCTTGAAAACAGAAATATAACTTGAAGTTATTAATTAGGCACAGCTAATAATAATGGGTGTGACATAGTGATGATATTTTTACTTTGTTAAAGAAATGTAAAAGTATATAGACTAAAGAAAATGGTAACCTCTAACACGACTATAATGTGCAGTCAATGTGTGTCAGGTGGCTATTTATTTCTGTAACTCTGGCCCTTGTATTCTCTCACTGTATCTCATATATCCTCCTAATTAAAAAACAGAGACTATATAGCCTTAGCAACATTTCTGAGTTCAGGAAGAAAAAGACATCTGATATATGACACACAAGAGATCATTAAGAGACTTTGAGGAATGTCAGTGGCAGACATTGTTCATGGAGGGCAAAGGGTAACATTGACACTGTTTGTGTTGCTACCAAGGTAACAGAATAATCTTTGGTCTCAGGCTTTTTATAAAAAAGTCTGTACAGTATATTTTATATACCAATAGCAGATGTGACATGCTTACATGGCCCATAAATAGATTATAATTTTCTAAAATATATTTTTAATCACAAGACAAGTAACATCATATGTAATGTTTACTGGATTGTACCCTGATTATTCCAGCTATAACATATTTAAAGGGACACTGGTCACCATAACAACTTCATCTAAATGACATACCTTTCCTATGAATGGGGAGTTACTGATTGACTTAGAATGTCAGTGGAGTGCCCTCACTGATTGGCTAGAACAAAAAGAGGTGTTAACCCCTCGGCGGTAACTCCTCCTTTTGTCAAGTTTTGACTTAGTCTTTTGACTGTGTTGGAATGTCAATGAAATTCTGGCACAGTCCTTATGAGCATTTCTTAAAGATTTTATCTTTCTGAAATGCATTTTTTTTTCTTCTTTTTTATTTGTGGAAGGAAGGGGGTGACTGTCTGAATGATGGGTGTTGTGGTGCATTTCACATTTCTTTCTTGGTACGCTTTGAACGCATTGTGTAACACAGTGTTGGACAAAACCCACCCCATGCCATCAAGACAATTGGACAATTAGAAATATTAAAGTTGAGCATTAATATTTAAAAGTAGGATGAAATAATGTAGTTTGACTTGCATGTTAAAGCCATACTGTTGTACTAAAAACTTTATTGTCACAACTTACAAGGCATCTTCATTTTGATGAACTCAGCATAAGAAGAAGCTACACATTGTGTCTCTATTGTGACAAATCTAACCACATGGTGAAGACCTGTCCTGAAAATCCTACCATCTGCAATGGTAAGAACAAGTCCTCTCTTCTATATATGCCATGCTCTACAAACATGTCACACTAGTTATCTATTCCTATTCTATTACAGTGGAATGAGATGAAAGTGACAGTGAATGACAAGAGTGGCCCAGTAGCCAGTGGCTGTTTTTTGGATAACTATTTAGCTGATACATTGTCAATGCCTTGTCGTAATAAAGAGTTTTCTCTGTGCATTAAAGTTGTGGATGGTTGTTCTTTAAAATCTTGGCTTGTTACTAGGGATACTTCTACATCTCTGTTACCATTGGTTTCTATTGGTATTAAATCTTTACATGTTGAATCTTTACAGTTTGACCTAGTCACTTCTCTGCTGTTTCTTGTTATTTTGAGGCTGCCATGTTTGAGGGCACACAATCCACTTATTTGTTGGACTAAAGAATGGTGTCCTTTACGTCCCCCTATTATGGACAAAAGTGTCAATCTTGGTCTTCTCCAGTAGCACACATCAAGACTATTTTAGATGTTAATAGGCACAGTCCAGATGTACACCTTTTCTGTTTATTGTAAATATGATGATGTTTGACAAAAAAGGAGTATAGATACTCCCACCACACCAGATATATTGTTGTCCCATTGATCTTCTTCCCAGAGCACCAATTCCATTTCGATGCATAATTCCATTATCAAAACTGAGATGACTATCCTCATTGCCATTACATGATGTCATTATTGATGCAGCATCTGACATATCACCTTGTGCACTGTTTGATATTTATTGTTAGACATTTAATATAATAACTATTGGGTATTTCTTATTGCTTGCAAATTATCATTAATGTAATTTATCTGCATTAGATATAGTATTATTTATCTTCTTTTTTTCATGTTCTCAAATACATTGTAGGATTGAAAAAGGTTGAAATAAGTATTCTCAGTATAAATATTTGAAGTGAACCCCTATTGTGTATTTGTTATTAGTATTGCTGTGCTTAGGGAGTTTTTGAATCCATCAGAACTTTATTTTTCACTTTTTGAGCACCTTTTCACAGTTGTCTCAAAACAGAATATAAGGGGTGGCCTGCGACCTCCAATCTGATGCGCGTCATGTCTCATGGACAATACAAGATGCCAGGAAAACTTTTGCTCTTGAACTTAGCCTCTGGACAGCCCTGTGTTCGATGCTTGGAGCACCCTCCCCTGATTCTCCAAGCTCGCTGACAGCCACAACAATGAAGGGTAGACACAGGGGCGTGTCAGATGGGGCATGGCCTTTGATTGGTGCCCTATTTAAACAGAGAACAGCTTAGCTATCTTTCCTTAGTTGTTCTGTGCTGTTCACCAGTGACACTTTGGATTGCCTTGACTCTGCCTTTGCCTAGCCTTATCTAGATTGTTTGCCTCTGACTTCATTTTAATTTTCCTCAGTGAGTACTGTATTCCTGGTTTCATACATCAAGTCTCACAGTTATGTAGGGTTTGAGACAGCACACATGACTAATTGTTGCAGTTGGCTATGTTGCAAATCCTTTAAACTCCTCATCAGAGACCACAACACCAGACTACAGCATCCATCCAATATATTTTATAGTTAATACTTGCCTAACAAGCAATATCTGGGAGTGATTCAAGAAGGCAAAAAGAAGACGTCTATCACAAGACGCTTGGGGTACAGCTCTGAAATGCCTTAACACAATATCTTAATTTTAGAACGAACTAAAGACACAACTATCTAAGCCTAGGCGTCTTCTCTCATCAGGATTAACATCTTATTTCAGTTCTCTTCCATCATTTCCATTATATTGTCAGTTTGCTTTTCCTCTATACTTGTTTACTTTTATATTCTTAGCATATAGAGCCAGGGCTTCCTTTAAATAAATGGTATTTAAATCTATAGGTAGATAACTGCTAAATGTAAGGCAACTGCAAAGAAGTTATGAAGTTGATTAGAGATCTAATGTGTTATTAATTGCCACCAATTAAATATCTGTATAATTATTTTATTTTATTCATTGTACCTTTTCTTCACATGTATTTTTTACTGTATACATTATACACATTTACTGTTTTGTTTTCATAGTAACTGTGACTCTTTTGACTATGTAAGTGAAACCACTGTGCAGTGGCTATGAATCATCATGGATACCAAGATCTGACAAATAAACAAAGAAACGAACAATCTATGATACGTTATATCTTTATATGAATGCCACCTACTAAAATCCCCAAGTTAAACATTATAATTAACTGTGCTTTAGCTTGCTTAAACCACAAAACTTTCCAGAGGTGCAGCTGTTAGAAGTTACCATCAGCTGGACTTTATATCCTTATATCCGTATTCTAAACGTCACAGAGAATTCCACCAAAGAGTCATTTCTGTTTATTAAACACATGTTTTAGATTTATAATTTCCAGGTGTATTTTTTGTCAAGTATTGTCTCCTTGCACATGGAGATCTGCAAGTAAATGTGCCTTTTGTCAGTTGCCTGTATCCCAAATTCAATGATATGGGAGGAAATGATTTAGAATAGGAATTGTTACATCCCCATACATAGAATAATAACAAGTAGGTGATCTTACACCTCAGTTATTTTACAGTTGAAAGAAAAAAAGATGATGAGCATATTTAAAAATTAAAAGCAATCAGCTAAATGTTCTGAGCATGATCAGTTTAATGTTTGGGTTTTTTTTTGCAGTATTTTACCACATGCATGGATCGGTTCCTGTTTTCTTTTTTTTTTTCTTTTTTTTTAAATAAATCTATGCATTATATTACTTGTACACAAGTAATACGGCATAACAACCATTTTTACACGGAATGTCTGAAATGACCTATAATAATATCAGGTTTATTATTCAGGTTTAATTGGATTTAATGCAACCCATCATCACAAAAAAGCTTTGTTAAATACTTTTTTAAAGTAGCAGAAAAGGTAACCTTTCAGATTTCTGTTTAATTTTCTTTGGTTGAATTAGATATACAATGTAATATTAAAAAACAAACAACAAAAGCAGAGGGTACGACAAGAGCTGGCTAGCTGGCAACCTCAAGTCGGCACGGGGTGGCAAGCTGTGCGCTAAGGCAGAGTAGGCACCTCCTTACCTGAATGGCAGATACCTACTCTTCCC